GGGGGGCAATGAAATTGTTGTATCCTTAGTCATTATCTTTGGATTTGCTTCAAAGATATGTTGAAGTAACTTCGTTCATTGCCCTAAATACTGTTTGAATTTGCTTTAAAGCAGTATAGTTTTCTCCCTCATTGTTGATTCAAACAACATTCTTATAGTGGTAGGAAAACCATAGTAAAAACATGAGTTTATCTCACTTTGTCTGTTGGGTGGTTGCTTCCTATTTTGGTACTTATAACCAACCATCTGCTGACTGCTTTCAGATATTCTATGAATGACTAATTGAGTATAGTGTAATTAGCTCAGAAGATTTCTATCCTATCCTGCTTTATCCTTTCTGCTCAAAGAAAGGGCAGGGATGTACAAAAATGATTATAATTTTGGCAGTGTCCACAGAACAGTTTGTACAATACCTTCTTTAATGCTTTGGGCAGTGTCCACAGAAGAGTTATAAAATGAGTACACAAACAGTTTTGGCAGCATGTATCAAACATTCTGATAAATTGTGCATCCAATGTCCATAGAGGAGCAAACACAGGTAATGACTGAGTTGTAGTGGATGGACTACAAGGGATCAAAAAGAGGAAGGAGAAAAAAAAAGAACAAAGAAAGAAAATGAAAGGTCAAAAAGAAGAGAGATAGATGGAAAGGAAAACTGGAAATGAGAAGGAAATGAAAGGAAGAAATGATGGACCAGAAATTGGTTTCTCCATTCACTCAAAGCATTTGTTTTGTGCTTAGAGACTTGGCTTCCCCAAGCAGATGTCTTATGGGCTGCAGCAGTGTGTTTTTTCTTTATGCTCCAGTTATCAATGTCGCAATCATCTCCTCAGAGATTCATTCCCCGCATCACTTCGAAATCAGAGGCATACTACAGATGGCACATCAAACCACAAACATTGACTGCCAAAGTCCACTATGCTCTCCCAGTTTAGCTTGCGATGGTCATCTATATTAGTTCAACCATCTCTTTTACATTAATGCACTAGACGAGATGAGTCATTTGACGTGCAACACAGTTGAAAGTAAACTGAATAGAGAAATGAATGAACCTGTGAAATTCAAAGAAGCCTTTATCGTAGAGAAAACTGAGGGAGCCAAGTAATTGACTTCCAGTTAAAGATATACAACCACCTGCTGAGAGCAAGAAGATTATTACAGACTAGACTCAGTCTACACCTGTAACAGAGCTTGGCCAGACTCTTACTTAACCATGTAATATATTGGGAAAGAATAGCTTTGTCTGCTCCAGTCAAAACAAAGAAATATCAATAAGTTTCCACACATGAACATAGATGGATTATCCAGTAAATTACTAGGCTAACTGAAATATACTTGGCATAAAAAAAACGCCCTGTAACAGAGCTTGGCCAGACTCTAACTTAACCATGTAATATATTGGGAAAGAATAGCTTTGTCTGCTCCAGTCAAAACAAAGAAATATCAATAAGTTTCCACACATGAACATAGATGGATTATCCAGTAAATTACTAGGCTAACTGAAATATACTTGGCATAAAAAAACCAACATGCTATTTCTTAAACCCTTACTACAGATCAGAAGTTGTATAAACAAAGAGAGAGTCACTGCTTGTATAACTGGATATGAAGGCCCTTCCAACTGAGGTTGGCTGAGAATAGGCTAACTCTGAGCGTTTAAGAACTAAATCCTTGCAAAAGGTTCCCCTGCATTGAAGAATGAGAAGCAAGTTCAGACTAAATGTAAATCATAAGCAATCCAAACCTATGCGGAGCTTTGGCATTCCAGACTGCAAATGGCAAACAAGGAGTTTAATTTAAAGAAAATAGTTATTACCCATTTTACCAACTTCAAGTAACTTATTTGACCAAATTTATAATGCAACAATTACTTTGCAGAGAGCACGGTCAGACAAACTCTATTTGCTAAATAGAAGCACATCTGATGCTTCAACGACGAACTCTGTGTGTGAGCATCTACTAAGCAACATCCAATCTTTCATTTTGGTGTGCTCTTCTTTCTTTCCTTGGTCATTTCGTTTTGACATATTCATTATAACTTATCCAATTACAATGTATTAACCGCTAATGCACCTTTCTTTTACCAAATCTCAGGGGCATAGTCTAATATGAGGGTAATATGTTTCTATTTTTTATTTTTTTGATGACAGAGAAATCTCAGAGGGCCAATAGTGCACGGTCTGAAACTCGGTGAATAATGGGACCGCCACTAACCCTTCTCTACTCAAAAACCAGGCTCTTGTGTGCGGCAGGGTTCAAACTCGTGGCATGCGCCTAATCCTCAAATCACACGCTACACTCTTACCACTACACCAAAATCCTGAGGGGCAATCATGAGGGTAATATTTTACATAGTGTCGTATCCTAAATTTTAATGGAACAAAAGAGGCCCAGCTGGGTACTAACCAGACCAGGCCATTGATTCGAATAATTTGTTGTCTTATCACATTCATTTTCCTATCACTTGTGGAATGTATCTTAGCCAAACTCTTAAAAAAACAAAGAGAGTAGAGACCAGTGATGCTCAACAACAAAGTTTTCAGTTTCTTCTGTATGACTGCAGATATTAAAGATATTATCATTTGGCAATTGAATTCAAGAACCAACTTCGCGTTATGCAAGTAAATACCACCCCAAGAATCCCAGAACTCCTTTGAAACTGATATCTAAGGACGTTTGCATTTGTATCCACTGTTCTTTAGTAGGCATGAGTAAAGCATAATCCTTGCCCGTAACAGCCACTTTATCACCATTGACACCTTTGTAATAGCATGAATTTGAAATTGTTGCACGTTGAATATAGGAAATGGTGGGCACAACCTTCTTAATCATCTCTAAAACACCTTGATAGCACTCAGCTATATTCCTCAGAACAATTTCCTTATCAAGATAATTACTGCATGGAAAAACTAGAGGCATTATGTCTGAAACTGCATTTGTACCGGGAGAGTAGAAGTCTCTGGTAAACTTTACGAAGCTGGAGGACAGCTCTTCATCTTGAGAAGCACCAATCAAGCAACTCCATCATGTACTTGAGCAGCAGAGAGTACTACACCATTCTGTTTCTGCAATATAGATAGAGTACACCGTGGTAGGATCTTCTCATACTACATTGATGGCGTACACCACTCTGATTCTGTGAATACTTGCATACCAGGACCCCTTTCATAAATTATCAAGTCCAAGTGAAGAAAAATTCAGCTTCAAGTTTACAAAGACACTTGTCAAGTGAGAGCATCAGACTCTCACTCTATGGAATTTAGGTTTGTTTTATCAGTCACTGTCGCCTTTCTTCCTTTTTCCAGTGGTCTCGTTTATCAGACATGAATTTTTTTGTTTCCAATTCAAAAGGAGCAATTACTAGTTTGAACCCCGTAAATTTAACTTTTGTCAGTTCATTAAGCATGCAATATATTTACAATAAAAAAACTTCAAGGAACCATAACAACTCTGAGAAAGTGAATGGCATTACCTAGCAGCATCCAGCAAATAGCTGGCAATATGTTTTCTTCTGTTGGAGGGACTGACCCAAATGGCTCTAATGCCACATAAAGCAGATACAGCTTCCTTCTCACACAAGATTACTCCACTATCAGACTCTTCATGGCTTTTGGTTGATTGATTTATTCTTACAATTTCCCTTTGGAAACTCACTCCCCCAAATTGGAGTGTGGTTGAAGTCCGTCTTGCTTCCTTCTCAGGTGAAACCTTACACCTGCTGCCTTCTGATCTTGAGAGAATCTTATACGCCTTCTTTATGGGCTCTGTTACCAGACATCCAGATATTCTTTGAGAAGATATAAACAGATAAACCTGTTAACAGGAGAAATGTTTCAGAGTTTCATTCACATAGCTAGACAAACTCAGTATCTCACATAACCACCACATGAAGGGAGAATTCTTCATAAAAATTAGTCGGCAAAATGAGGACAACCATTCAACGTCATAGGACGATTAAGAAGCTTCATTGAGCTCGAGTAACTTACAACTCAAATTATAAAAAATATAAGTAGAAAGCTGGACAGCTGAAATTTGATATTGATTAGTGAATAACTTTGAACAATGAAGTTTACTTTCTATGACAGTAAGTTTCTTATAATTGCAAGAGAACGGAACCTTGCATAGCTGATGATATATCCACCCATCTCCAAGTTCCATCTCCATCATCTTCACAACTTCCTGTACCTGCCAACAACACACTCTCTTTAAGTCTATGAACACTTTGTTTAACATGATTAACTAGAGAAATATCAATCGTGAAAGTCAAAATACAGTGTTTCATGTATAACCAAATAGTATCTGAAAACCTTGTTTCTCTGAGGAGGAGGGTCATCGTCCAGCACCAAGATAATTCGTCCAATTTCAAGTGGAGGAATTTGAAGAACTCTTTCATTCCGCCAACCCTGGACATTTTATCAAATCCCAGCAGGATAGAACTTTAATCTTTTAATAATTTTACACAAATTTGAAATAACATACTCTGTTGCTGAATTACCTTAAATGGAATACCATGCGTATAATTCTTGTGAAACGTCTTATGAAACTTTTCATCCCCTTCATCACCTCTGGCATACTTGAAGCCACAGATGGTACAAGTATGCAATAAAAAATCAGACTGACCCAGTTCCAAATAAAATTGGGCGTACTTTCTCTTCTTATTCAAAACTTTCCCAGACTTTGCCACCCCCAGGTCTGGCGCAAATTTCCCCAAGTCTATTTCCTTGGATGCTTCACCAGTTGATGCACCATTGATTTCACTGCAAAATCAGCAAAGAACTTGAAGGGGAATTAAAAATGGTCATCAATGTTAGGTAGTAACAACTCTGAGATGTAATTTTTTTCCAAACACATAATTTCCAACTCCGAGGACAGAAATTTCAAGATTCAATAGTAGAGAAAAGGAATTAAGAAAAGATAAAAGAAGTAATAGAGAATATACCCAATTGAATTTTGAGGTCTGCGCTGGTAAGTAACAACAATTTCTGGCTGTAACCTCCCATAATCAAACATAACACTGCAACATTGGGATGGGTCTGCAGTAGAAGAAGAGGGCTTGAAGAAGCTGCTAATTTTCGATTGCATTTGATTTTCTCTCTCTTTCGGCCCTGTGAAAATTCTGCTTTAGCGCTTCCCGCCTCACTGAACTGAAACAAGTCGAGAGGGTGGTACTTCTATTTATCACTTGTATGCTCACAAGTTTAGGAGAAATGGTATTTCGCCCCCTAAAGTTTGTCAAAATAAACGTTTTCTTGTTTGGGGACCTTTTATGGATTAGCAAGAGGGTGTTTGTATTGGCTTAAAAGTTGGTCAAACCAGCTTAAAATCACATTTTACCTTGTTAGTGTTTGACAAACCTTAAAAGAGTTTTTAAGCTAAGTACTTTTAAGCTGAATTAAGCCAAAAGCCACAAACTGGGGATGACCAACTTATTGCTTGTTGGCTTAAAAGCTTTTTATGTTTGACCAAGTAATTGACCTTATTATCCCTCCTTTTTTATTTATATAAATTACAAAATACCCTTAGTAAAGTCATAACGTCATTTTTTTCCATCTTCCATTTTGACGTTGCAGGTATCTTTCTTCACATTATTATAATAAATAAGTAGCTTTATTTTTTCTGTGATAAGTAATTAATAAGACCCTTAATTACCTGACATTAGACAAATGTGAGAACTAGCAGAGGAGAAAAGAAACGATGCAAAGACTAAGACATTAGTTTTATTGGCATTAATTTATACTTCTATTATATTTTTTTTATTTCACTCTAGAAACAAATAATTTTATTTAGTAATTGAATATTCAGAGCAAAAGCATGTTACAAGTCTATTGGCATTCAGATTATATTTATTAAAAATAATCTTATCTAATTAATTTAATTTAGAGTTAATTAAGACATAAATTAGTCCTTATTTGAGTTAATTTTACATTAAGGATGTTGTAGTAATAAGCTTATTTTCAGTGTTAACAGTTTTAAGGATATTTCGGTCTTTTTAATAGAAAAAGTGCTTATTTGCACTTGTTTACCAAACACTTTAACAACTTTTTTTTAATTTCAGCACTTTTATCCAAACACATAACAACTTATTTAGAAAATAAGCTCCAGCACTAAAAATGTGCTTTTAAGTACTTGTGCTTAAAAGTCACTTTTTTTAAGCCAATCCAAATGGGCTCTAAATTTATAATGTCTCTCGAAAATTCAGTTGCATACTTCAACTTTGCGGGCGTCCTATTACCACCCTATTCTTGTTCAGAATGGAACTATTACCTCATTGTCACACTCAAAATCAATCCCCTATCCCCCACTCTCGCTTCTCTCAATTATTGAGTATATAACCCATAACCGGTTAGATTCAACCAAAAGAATTTTACGCCTCTTTCTGGTTCATCCTATCTTATATCGCTTATTTTCTTCCTTCATAATAATAAACCATCACATTTTTTTCTTCACGCAATGTATATCACCTTTGTAATCTCAGTCACTGTATTCTCTCATAATTGCTCACTCCCGCTAACAATTCCAATTGAAAAGAAAGACTAATATGCACCAATAAATTGGCAAAATAACATATAATCCTTTCGTTCCAATTTATGTGAACCTACTTGACTAGGCACGGAGTTTAAGAAAAAATGAAGATTTTTAAAATTTGTGGTCCTAAACAAATCAAAAAGAGGCCCAAAGTATTTGTGTGGTTATAAACATTTCTCATTAAGGGTAGAATTATAAGTTTAAGCAAAATTATTTCCAAATTTAGAAAGAGGTCATTCTTTTTGGAACAGACCAAAAAGAAAATAGGTTCACATAAACTGGAACGGAGGGAGTATTTATATAAAATAATATATGTAAACATCAAATTAAACAATAGCTTCCGGAGATAGTTGTAATGGCGTCAAGGACAAGAAGCGCCAAGAGTTTTGTGTACTTTAATACTAAAACCACTAGAAACACATCTTTCCTCACTTGGGTACACAAAAGTTATAATCGATCGGTTAAAAAGATTCGCAGTTGGAGAAAAAAAATCGGTAACAATAGCATCTACATTGTTATAATTGTGAGTTTATTTTCAAATCTCAAGCCTCTGGTCAATAATTTGCACCTTTGCTTATAATTTTTGAATATGTAGTATTTAATCACACTTAATTTGTCTTGATAACGCAAATTCTTTTTTAAAGATTTCTATTATTGCAAGAGGTCTGATCGAAGAGGATGTGGTGATAGGTTCTAAAGAAGGTAATGGGTAAGGAGAATGAAAGATAAGGAAAAAAAAGACTAAAAAGTACACAAAGAATTAATTGTATTTAGTAGTATAATATTCAATAGAAACATGACATGCGGTCAATTTAATTTGCCTTTTAATCTTTTTCTGCTCATGTCCGTTTGAAAAAGGTGTAGCTTTTTTCTTTACCATGTTAGCTTTTAGGGGGATAATTACAACACTCAGAATAAGAGTACAGTGGGAACAAGACGTCCGCAAAGTTGGAGGGTGTAATTGAGTTTTCGGCACAAGTTTAAAGTGTAACTTATATATTTTTCTTTTCTTTTTTTACACACTATATGTCATTGCTTTAAACAATTCAATTAAGAAGCTAAACTCACGTGATGCATGAACACTAACCATATCAAATTATGATCTGGTTATTTGAATATATTAGCCAGATCAAATTAATCACTTTTTACTGATTGTTTATAGCTGGAGTTCTTTTGTATTACTTCCTAACTGTATTGAATCACAGACTGTAACATCTTATTTTTTCGTGTGAGTTGCGAGCAGTACTATGATTTTTAAAGTAAAATATTCTCATTGTGTGCTTTATGTGTGTAGGAGTAAGTTTGAATGATAAGTAATCGAAAAATGTCAATTTATTGCACAAAGAAGAGATGAAAAGAACTGGGATCTCGTCCAATCACTACTAGAAACATAGCATTTTCCCACGAAAATTTCTCACGAAAAAATTTTCAGTGGCAATTCCTATCGAAATTCAATGGGAAAATGAAATTTCTTTTTCAGAAAAAAATAATAACGTTGATTGTCCGTGGGAATATTTTGGCACAAAAATGCGCGTAATTTAGTTCTCTCTGATTCTGTGAGAAAAGTTATTAAAAAAATAATTATATAAAAGTGAAAAAAAAATCAGGGAAAACAGTGGGAAAAATAAATAAATAAAAAATATTTTTAAATATACCCATAGATTCAGTGTGAACAAAATATTTTGAATTTTGATTTTTTTGTGTTTTATGAAAATGTTTTCCCACAGAACTTTTCCATGGAAGTAGTGGGAAAGTTATTATTATTCACACAACCTTTTAGTTTTCTCTCAGTTTACTCACATCATTTTCTTCCTCTGTTTCTTCACTCCACCGACGAGTTCTTCGCTTCACTCCATTTCCAGGTAAGTCGAACTCTCTCTCTCTCACTCACCCTCTCCTTTTTCGTTTTTGATTTTTCGGAACATAGAAATTTTCTACTGTTTCAAACCTTAGGTTTGAAAAAATTACTGATGTTCTCTTCCTCATGTATAGTCTAATTAAATCTAAGTCTTTATTCGTTTCGTCTTAGAAACAATGAATTTACGAGCAAGTTTCATACATTAGATATTTTTAAAACACAATAAAGTGATTAAGTCAAGCGAGATTGCTAAGCTTTTTATCTATATGCGTGTTTCACTTTAAAGTTTGAGAAATAAAGATACTTACTTACATAAAAAAAAAAGTTTACTTTTATAATAATTATAATTTTTTTACAAGATACTTTCAAACAAAGCTTAGAGGAGTTCATTCAAAGTCAGCCGATTGATGATCAAGGTAGACCAATCCAACCATCTCAAGAGAAGATCATGGACATATGGATTAAGGCAACTGGTGGCGTGCGTAAGGGGAGAGTCTACGGCCTTAGATAAGAGTTTAGTCTCGGTCGTCGTACTTCTGAATTGTCTAGTTCTTATTCTTCCTCACATTACTCGGTTGATCTGGATGAGTTTGAGCAATTGAATAGGAAGGTAGTAAAGATTACTGAGTTGTATCTTCAAGAAAGGGCTGCAAGGGAAGAAGAGGCAAAGCGGAGAGAGGAAGAAGATAGACGAAGAGAGGAAGAGTAAAGGTGAAGGGAGGAACAAATGAGGCGAAAAGACGATGCATTAAGACTTGTCACTAGTGATGTTAAAAGTCTTAAGTCTCAGATAAAATCCCTCTTAGCATCTGGTGTATTTCCTCTACCCCGTTCCCCAGCACCATCGGATGATAACTAAGGAGTAGTTTCTTTTATTAGTTTGTCTTAGATGGTACTTGGATGTTGAATATTGAATGTTGGATTATTTGAGTTTTTGTTCTACTCTCTATTTAGTTGGATATTGTTTATAAAATGGATTGAATTAGATGTTATTTATGAAATAAATTAGATTGAATGCTGAATTTGGTATTTGAATGCTTAATTGTATTTAGTCTTGTATTGTTGGTTGTACTTTCTTCTTGGTAGGTGATGTAGTTCTAAAAATAGATTTTGCCATGAAAATATTTTCCAGATTTTTCACGGATTTTCCACCGACTCCGTGGGAATTTTGTCCATATTTTTCTAGAACTTCAATATTTTTCACTGATTTTCGTGGAAATGTTCATATATTTATTTCCAGGTTATGCATGTTTTCCACTGCTTCCATGGGTAAAATAAAAAAATATCTAAATTATTTTTAATACTTCCCACAAATTCGGTGAAAAACTTAAGAAAATTAAATTATTATATTTTATTACTTTTCCCACGACGGTCATGGGAAAATACACTATGTGACTTATCAAGTTCACGTGAAACCCTCTCTGGAAATTACCCACGAATGTTTTAGAAAATTATTTTCCACCAGCCCTTTTCCCACTGAGCGTATCCCCTGGGAATGTCGTGGGAATATCTAAATTTTCCACTGATTTCTCACAGATTTTTTTGTGGAAAAAAACTGTATTTCTAGTAGTGAATCTCGTGCGTAGAACGAAAATAGACGTTGAGACAATTAAATGCATAAAAAAGGCAAAGTAAAGGGAAGGCATGGATTGCTTCGCGAAATGAAAATTTTTCAAAGTCTGAGTCCACGTCTTTGGGCGCACAACGCGTGAGCGTGGAGGCAATTTTTCCTATACAAGATTAGATT